AAATTCCAATATAGAAAAAAAATTAATGAAATAGACATTAGAATTAACAAAAAAAAAACGACTTTGTATTTACTTAGCTCACCAAATTATGAAACTTGCGCAGCAAAATGCCAAAACCATGCTATTGACTGTTGCGGATGTTGTGCGAACAGCACTCGCTTTGGCTCACCACACTATATTCTGTGCATAAATAGTTGTTGTGGGGATATTAACAGCTGCAAAGATCAAAAGTCCTTGAATAATCCTTAGTTATCATGCCAATCACTGACTAAGTTGTTGGATTACTAAGTAATAATCTTACTTTGTACTTTTCTTTTTTCGGGGTTTCACATGTTTTACTTAACGTGTGTGTCCGTGTAATACTACTGGTTATGTATGTCGGTTGGAATAAAAGTTGATTTGGTTCGCCTATCATGTTTCATTTATTGATTCAAAGTCAAGTTTCGATTAAATCTGAAATTAAGGTGAGAATTGTCAACATATTTAGATAATAGTTAAACTTTCTCACTTGGCTTGCATAAGTCAAGATGACCGAGCGGTCGGCCCCAGCTTCAGGTATTGGACCGAAAGGGCGTGGGTTCAAATCTCATTCGTGACCGCTCCAGCTAAAATAAAAATTAGAAAATCTGAAATTAAGGTGAGGATTTTTTCGCTCGTTATTCTCTATTCGGTGTTACTTTTCCAGCGGCGAGTTTTTTTTATTTCGGTTGAGTGAACTATCTTGGGCTCATCTCCCTGTTCGTATCCATAAAATTTCAGTTCAATCAAAGATCGTTTGTCCATTTAATTTTCCATATTAAAACATTTATACACATTTTTATTTTTGCGTGTTTGTTCATTGTTTGGTGGAATTTCAATCCGCTATATGTTAATGTGATATGTAAAACTACATTATCATGCAATGGAAACATTATACTATCAAACTTCATGTTATCCATTATATTTGTATGCTTAGAAAGAATAAAGCAAAAAATACGTCATTAAAAATAAAGTCATCTTACATGTAAATCTATTTTGTTATGTTTACTACATTTTCTGAAAATATTTGCAAAAAATACGTCATTGAAAATAAAGTCATATTCAAACCATCTTAAACTACTTAAAAACCAAAAAATAATGCAATTTAAATATTAATGAAAAAAATAAATTAAAAATAATTAAAAATTCAAACTACAATAAAATTTTCGTAAATATAAAAATAAAATAAGATTTGAAAGTAAATAATGTGATTTTCTTAAGTAAAAGCTTTAACCCCAATGCTTGCTAATTGGGTTGGGTGGAATGGTATAATTCCATTCTACTAGGCTTCATATGTCGGGCTTTGAAATCGAAGTCCAAAGTTCAATTCATATTTGTCAATTAAGTAAAAAGGCCCAAAACGTACGAGTTCTAATATTTTTGTATGAGTCATAAATCTCGGTAATAAATTAGTTACACTAATAAAGTCCTGAGGAGGCCCACTGAGTATTAAGCCATCATTTTCCAAATTAACTTTTTTTTTTTATATGTTTTATNNNAAAATACTTATATCTAAAGAATAATTACTATTTATCTGTCAATAATAATTAAAAATAATGGATTTGGCAAGTCATACTAGTAAAAAAAATGGACATTGATTTCGTTTTAATTAATAAGAAAAAACTAGTTTTCACTAAAATTCAATCTGAAAACACAAAGTGAGCAAATTTTTCAAGAGCATAATACATATCATATGATTTGTGAAATTAATTAAAAAATAGCTATTTCAGACAAACATTAATTTTGATAGATACAGTGTTTCTCACTACTCACTCCTCAGATCACACGGCAGAAAAAATAGGACACTTCTGAAAGGTAAGATCAAAAAGAACATGGCGCAGTAGATACTATAAATCAAAACATGGACCATCTTAATTAAATGCATTGCATGTTCTTTTTACCTTCATTTGGTACATATATTAAATTGTGCTTTTTGTGAGTCAATTTAATTGTTAGACGGGCAGATCAGACATGTTTTTGAATAAAATATCATATATACTAAATAAAGTGTGCTTTTTTGTTTAAAACAAAAATATTTTTTTTTAATATGACATTTCAATATGAATCTATGCATATTTGTTAAAAAAATGATTGTCGCCTTTTTTAATTTTATATTCTCCATTAATTAATTCATGGTGTCTATATTAGCCAAACACAAGGACCTCGTGGTGATGACCTGCGTTATTGCACCATGGCTTCTCTTGTGTTAAAGTCTAACTTTTCTTATTTTTCTTCCTTAATAGTAGTATTTTTTTTTCCGAAATTTTGAATGTAAATTCAAATTTTCATTAAATACCTTAAAAGCGCATTAATTCAGTTTAAAAAAATTGGATGCATGGCTATAAAAACTTGATAATTTGCAATTGGGGGGCAAAAAAAAGGGGGTCCCACCTCCATAATTCCTCATTCCTTTAGCCCACATGCATCGTTTATTTAAAAAAATTAATTGCATTTTCAGTCAATATTCAATTATTTATGCTGTAGATCTAAATAATTATAAGTATTATTATATGTGCCCACATATTTTTCACACCAAGACTGATGAATAATTCGAAAATTTCAACCTATGTTATTTTCATCGGACTTTTTAATTACCTTAAAATAAAGTACACTTAATACAAATAAGTGTGAATTTATGTGATCAAATGATAAAAAAATCCTATCAAGATAGCACCATTATTTGCACTCTAATTTAGCTCTAATATTTTTTTTTTTTTCTGCACGATCTTATGATATGTTTGTTCTGAATGATGAGCATGAGGGGCAAATTTTAATTAATCAATTATAGCTGTGTGAATATCAATTAACTTTGAATGCATGAGCTAGCCAACTTAGATATTTTTGGTGAGTGTATTTAACATTTTTGGATGAAGATACCAATCATCAGCATCATAATATGATCATATATTTTTCAATTTAAATTCAAATGACAACGTACATTTATAAGAAATTATAAAAATGACTAAAAAAAAAGGAAAAATAAAAATCTTTTTGAAAACAACTTGCCACTGGAAATAGGAGGAGCGCAATTAAAACTACTGGAAACATTAGTAAATATCAGTCACATAACATAAGCATGCAAAACTTAATAATGTAATACTGTATAGAGAGAGAGAGAGAGACTGAGCCCAATGAGACAGATTGAGTGACACCCGAAAATTAAAATTAAACAAAATAAAAATTAAAAATCCCCCCAAATTAGGGGCTTTTGTTTTGTAATCCTGCAAAATCACATTGAATGCCACGCGGTTTTGGTGAGACAGTATAGAAAAACACGAAAAAAAAAAATCGAGATTACTGTCCTCATCGTGTTTTATTATTATTATTATTATTATTATTATTATTATTTTAATATTGGATCATTGTATACCTGTATGAACAATCTTGCTATGAAGTCAACAGTTGGTTCCTTAGTGGAGTCAACTTTCTATATACAACAAGTAAACCATACCATATTAATAAAATTATTAGTATTATTTAATAATCAGAGAATATAGTATAGTTTACTTGTTGTATATAGAAAGTTGGTTCCACTATGGAGCCAGTTGGCTTCTTAGCAAAACTTCCGGTATGAATACGTATGTGTGATCCAAAAAACACAAACCTCGTTGAATTTCCCAAAAAATACACATAAAATCACACACAAAAGGAGCGAAATCACGAAATGTACAATTCTGTTGCAGAAATACCATTGTTTTGAAACTTGTATATCGTAATGCGTCGCGTTTAGGTCTTTATACTGCGTAGCGTAAATAACGTTGTGTGTTGCCTAAACTATTTGGGTATAAAAAATTATTTTATAAATATATATATATATATATATATATATATATATATATATATATTTGAACATAATAAAATTTGATGGTTGATTCCAAAAATTATCATAATATCTGAGTGAATTAAATAATAATATTTAAGAATTATTTATCACAAATGTTTAATGTATGTATCTAAATATGAATATTTAAATAGTAAAGCTAGTATACCAAAAAGTAAAAACAAACAACGAAAATATAATAATGTCGGTCATAGTTCAATTTTAAGTATGTACATTTTAATTAACTTTTTAAATTTAACTATTTGAATTTTTTATTCTTTAATTTAAATATCAGATATGATAGTACTAGACCGATAAGTATTACACTGTCTAGCTTAGGACTTTGCATTTTCAAACTTTTAATTTGAAATCAATATCAAAGAATTCAGTTTTTAGTCGTCATTTGAAAATATGACTTTATATCCCTAAAAAATACAAGATTTTTTTTATTATTTTACTGTTATCATGTCGTTGCAGAAATATTGCTTAATATAGCATAAAAAAACGTCATTTCAAGACGCTTTTCGAAAAAAACGAGCTATATAACAATATGTCGCGTGTTTTTTTTTTTAAAAAGGCACTACAACGCGCTATTTAAAACAATATGAAATAACACTCAATAAATAAATCATTCATTTTTTTTACCGTTAGATCACATATATCCGTATAAGAAAATGCTACATTGTCAACCTAGTGTACAACTAAGTTGACAACACAAGTTAAAAACATTCACAAAGATAAAAATAAAAACAATACACAAGTAGATATTTTCACTTGTGTTGTCAACTTAATTGTATACTAATTTAGCTATGTATCATTTTTTTCAGTATAAACCTACACAATTGATCCAACTATAAAAATCACTCACACAAAATACTCCGCAAAAGCACACGCAGCTGACTTTAGGTCCAATCACATTATGTGTAGAGTAAATGCATTTGCTGTTAAACTTTTTTGACTCTTTTTTCCGGAGAGTACCCTAATTTGTCTTTTTCTCTCCACAACAACACTATATTTCTTTCTCCTCTCTCTTATCTATATATGCAGATATAATAACTTAGACCCTCAAAACTCGTCTCTCGTAACAAGCAAAAACCACAAAAACAAAAACAAAGAGAAAAAGAAAAGAAAAGAAAAAAAAAAAAAAAAAAAAAGTAGAGGCACANCGGCGTGAAGAAAGGCCCGTGGACTCCCGAGGAAGATATAATGTTGGTGTCTTATGTTCAAGAACACGGCCCAGGAAATTGGAGAGCTGTTCCTACTACTACAGGTCACATCATTTTCCAAAAATAAAAAAATAAAAATTAAGTTTTTCAACATAGTCAGCTAATTAAAATAATTTGTCGCGCGCGTGTATATTACTATTTACTATACAGTAATCAAATTTTTTCTTTGAAATAAATGAAAACCTCAAAACTACAGGTCACATAATTTTGCAAGTTGTTAGCTAATTAAAATAATTTGTTATATAGTAATCAATTTTTTCCTTTGAAATAAATGAAAACCTGAAAACTATAGGTCACATAACTTTCCAAAAAAAAATTTAAGTTGTTCAACGTAGTCAACTAATTAAAATAATCATATGTTACTCTTTACTAGGCAGTAATAATCAATTTTTTACCTTTTGAAATAAATGAAAAACTTTACTTTTCAGGTCTGAGGAGATGTAGCAAGAGCTGCAGACTAAGGTGGACCAATTATCTCCGACCCGGAATCAAACGGGGCGGGTTCACGGATCATGAAGAGAAAATGATTATCCAGCTTCAAGCCCTTCTAGGCAACAAGTAAGCATATTTTTTACTTGTTAGTTAGTTAGTTGGTTATTTAAACCATGTGAATTATTTTAAAAAAAACGAATATCAAGAATTAAAANATAAAAAAAAAAAAAAAATTATTATAATAGGTGGGCCGCCATAGCCTCGTACCTCCCGGAAAGAACAGACAACGACATCAAAAACTACTGGAACACACACTTAAAAAAGAAGCTCCGGAGGCTCCAAAACGGGACGGACGGCGACCCGATACCCGATAAAAACGGACCCGGGTCGGGTCGGTGGGAAAGGCGCCTTCAAGCAGACATCCACACAGCCAAACAGGCCCTTAAGGATGCCCTCTCGCTCGAAAGCACTGAGCCTGTCCAGCAGCAGGGCTTTTCGTATGCTTCGAGCACGGAAAATATTGCGCGATTGCTAAAGGGTTGGGTGAAAAAAAGTAGTAATAATCCGAGTTTCGAGGAGATAAAAATCGAGTCCAAGTGTTCGACCGGTAAAAGTTGCGGTGGGGTCGATTTATCTGAGGCTTTCGAGTCATTGTTTGGTTTCGGGAGTTTTGAATCTCCGAATTCGGACGGGTTTTCCGGGTCAGGGTCGAATGATGATGTGAAACCCGAGCCGGATGGGTTTTCAGGGTTGTCGGTGATTGAGAATTGGTTGCTTGATGAGACTACTAGCTTCAAGTTTGATGAGGATTCGGATTTATTTTAATTTGATTTTATCATTTTTTTTAAAATTTTTATTTTAGGAAAAATTAGTGACATTTTTTTTTTGTTCTAACATTGAAGAATTTTAAATTTTAAGCTTTACCTTTTTTTTTATAAATTAATTTTTGGATATTATGATTGATGTTAAATCCATGTGTGGTGGTGGGTTTTGAAGGTTGCTACTTTAATCTTTTACCAGCGATGTACATTTATGATAATTTAATTGAGCATTAAAGTTTACATTAAATGTCAATAGCAGCTACATAATGGTTATGTCGTGTTGTTTTCATAATTTTATTCCTGTAGTAAATAACTCTGGCAAAATCAGTGGTCTGTTGCTATCGTATGCCAATACTTATGTTTTAGTACAGCAACATATTTTATTTGACTTTTAAATAGAAAAACAATTAAAGAAACATATAGACAAAAAACTATAAAATCTATTTAATTTGTTGCAGATATTGGGCTATCACATTGATGAAAAAAAAATCAACGTCTCCAAATTACAATTTTTTTNTATATCAATGATAAAAGAGTATAGTGTGTGAATGGATATGGTTTTATTGGGGAAAAAAGTTGTTTGTGAAAAGAATGTTTATTTAGAGAAATAATATATATAGTGTGGAAAACTTAATAATTCTTATAATGTTAAAATATGTCATATAAGAATAAATTTTAGTTGTGATGTAGCAGATACATAACAAAATAATATAATTGATGGTTATAAAGAAATATGTAATTATTATTTTTAAATTTTAAAATATATTTGAAAACTTGGATTATATAATACCCTTTCTCTCGAACAGCATAGTTCTCTGCCACTTTCCTCAATTGTGAGTCTGTGACTTGTGAGGATGGAAATTAAAATAAATAAATAAATAAAAATTTTATGTAGTTTTGGCTTCCTTTTCATTTTTTTGCTCTTGCATTGTGGATTTTTTTAAAATTATTTATAGAAGTGTTAAATTTTATCCCCTCTATATATAATTTCAGAATGCGTTGAGCATATGTGGCAAACTCTCATGCTTTGGAATCCTATTTGGCAAAAAATCATGCTTTGGAGTTAGGTTTTGATATAAATTAATATTTTTTATCACACTAAATCCATGATTGATTTTTTTCCTTCTGTACTTCTACAATTAGTTACCATAAACTATTTTATGTTTTATTTTCCTACATTACCATACATCACATTTCATTTTCTTATATAATTTATTCATTAGTTTTTATAAATATTTCTTTTTCTTATTTTAAGAGTTTATAATGTTTTTGTTTGTATTTTATTTTTCATGTATGATATATCAAATTAACTATCTTTTAACGATCCTCGATTTGACATCCATATTATATATATAATATCTTAAACAGTAATATATATCCTTATAAATAAAATTTAAATTTATTTATCAAACTAAATTAAATTATATGAAATAAAAATATAAATTATATTATAAAGGAATAGAGATTGGTATGTATTCTTTTAAAAATAATATTTTTTTCAATTCCAATTGGTATGTTGTCAATCTAATAACAATAAATAATTATTTATTTAAATTTTAAAATTACATATAAAGTTAAAAAACTGTGAAGCACGACTGATACGACACTTGATGTATTATGCATCTAATTAAGTAAAAAATTCATCTATTTTGCTTAATATTAAATAAACATATTTTACACTTATGCATATACATATCACCATATTATTTCTATTTATTTAAGATATATATTTTGTACATATGTAATACTAAATAATATCGATATTTTTAAATGATATAAGTAAAAAAAAAATCAACACGGGTTGACATTTTCATTTAATGTACGTGTGTTTAATCATTATAATTAAAAAAATATAATTTGATAATTTAATTGAAAAATTAATGTTTTATATAAAATTAAATTTTTTTATATAGTTGAAAATCTAATTTTGTCTAAAAATTAAAACGTGACATCTATGTATGACGTGTTAATTTCATGCCAAAATTAAGATTTTGACAAATATTGTTTTCAAATAAGTCAATAATTATCACAATTGTGAGAGTAATATTGATTAATTAAGTATCAATAAAACTGCTTTTACATATTCATAATAAGTGAAACACTTTCAAATTTTTCCAAATACATCATATATATTAATTCAAAACACTTCCATTTTTTTCCAAATACATCCTATGCATTAACTAAGAATTTGTTGAGTCTAAATCATGGTTTAAAAAATAGGATCGGACCTGCAGATCCTACCAGTTGGACCAAGAATCAGCCAGTTGATCAATCTTAACCAATGAACAATTCGCTGAAGTGAAAAGCTTTCTTGCGAACCGATGAAAATATTAGTTTATATCAGTATATCATAAATATTTTTTATATCAGTATATCATAAATAAAATATTAGTTTATATTTTTCCGTACATGTGAAAAAATGTGAAAATTAAATATTAACATTAAATTAATATGAGTTAATATCCTAAAACATTAAGCGTTATTATAGTGTTGAAAACAAAAATAAAAATGAATCATAAGTAAAAGTAATAAAAATTTTATTGTGTTTCATAAATTTAGAAAATATTACATTTATACATTAATTTATATTTCAATCATAAAATATTATTAAATCATAAAGTTTAAAGTATGTTAAAAAAATTAATAGATAAGACATACAACAGAATATAAAAACTATGATTGCCATAAAAGCAAACGCAATGAAATAATTAAATCATGGAGTTGTAAATAATATTTATCAGTTGTGGACATATAATTTTATGTATGTGATAAAAAAAAGTTGTCATTATTTATAAGCTGAGTGTAAAAACTAGTGTCATTTTAAATAATTTTGAACAATTATGACTCTGTGAATTCTTTATTATTTGTTGTGTTTGTTATTTATAATTTTATGATAAAATTATAAGTATTTTACTATTTTTATACAAATATTTAGGGCTTGATTGTTTATCAAATAATTTGTTCAAAATAAGTCATTTTGATTAACCATAGTTAACTTTGAAAAAAATAGTATGGTTAGTTGTTACTGAAATTTTAAGAATGCATTAAAATAATATTTAAAGTAAAATGATTAAAATTAATTTGATGAAAAGTATGAGATAAGTGATTGGAATGATAAGTAGTTAAAATTATGTGAGCAGATGAATAGTTAATTAAAGTTGATGTGATATGTAAGAATGAATATTGGTCGTCTTATTTAATTATATAAATGATATTAAGGATAGTGAAGTTAAGTTAAAATTTGGTCAGATTTTGAATATGAAATAAATGTGACTAAATTAATCTCTAAACAATCAAGCCATTATTTTTCAAGCACTTGTGTTGCATATGAGTGTCGTTGTAGTATTTGACCTACAAATTCATATTTCTTGCTTAGATCTTTTAGTAGTTCAAAATTCAATCCCCAGTTTTGGATTCTTATGATAAAGTGAGCCTACTTTGTATGGAACGTTTCATGTAATATTTCTACAAGCAAAAAAGCATATTTTATACTAAAAATAACCATACTCTTCAAAAGAATAATATGTACACTGTTCACATTATTTCTTAAAAATATTATTTCTCACATAGGAAATATGAAATTTAATATATAAGTAGGCTGTTGGACAAAACAAGTAAATGAAACGTTTGTTGCTTGCCTTATTCATTTGTTTATATATTACTTACACTATACGCTAATTTTTTTTCCTAAAACAACACGTAATAATTATTTATAATTTTGGAACAGAAAATGAAATAAAATGTCACGCAGCAATTAAAAGATCCGCAAAATGATAAGGACTTATATCCCAATTAATAAATGTATATAATGATTCCAGATCATGTTTGTCTCTCAATTTGGACTTTTATAAGTATCGTGTTGCTGTCAAACACCTCTGCAGGTTACGCTATTTTACACGACAAACAATTGTTGCTTGAAAAATAATTTTGATTGTCTAGTAAGGCAATTATATATATATATTATATATATATTCTTATCAAAATACAACCTAAATTAAGATTTGAGATTTAAATGACATTACACATTACTAAGAGATGTTAAACAAAATTGAACATATCTTGCTTTATTTTTTGTTCACTTAATATATACACATATGTATACATTATTTTGATTAAATAATCCTGGAAATCTTGTTGAATGTTTGTGGATAGGAATGGCCTTGAAAATCTGCAGGATTTGCCTTAAATGCTGTAAGTCTGTAACATGTGAAAGTGTTACAATCTTTTGGTATTTAAAGTCAATTTAATTTTGTCAAATTGGCACCAAAATTTAATTTTAAAATCAATAGTCCATGCATGTAACAGCTCACTGATCACGACTCACACCCCTGAAAATTTTGTATGGGCTAATCTAATAGCTAGCTGGTGCAGTTTAGTTTGATTGAGGTTGACAGAGGTCAAATTTTTTTATATTAATATATTAGTATTATTAATGTTCGACAGACCCAACGGATATCAGACATAACGATTACGCGACCTTACTTGTATACCATTTTGTTGTAAAGTATTACGGGTCAACCTGACTAACACAAAAATTTATGTTCATGAATATAAATTCTTTTGTAGTAGAATGTTTTTAGGTACAACTAATAGTTAGCCAATCATATTTTTTTTCAATTTTACATATAGTTACGCTAAAATATCATAATGTAAAAGAACAACTTAAACAAAAAGCATGACATTTCATTTAAATGAATTGAAATTCCATTTTGAATACTTTTACTTGGTAGGAGCTGGATGAAAAGTAACCCTCATGTTTAGTCGATGGAATGAGATTTCCTACTTGATTTTTCTGTTCCATTTCGCGTTCCACTCTATTAGTTTAATAACACGTGTAAATGATGATATCATATTTATTCTCGTTTCATTCATCCAACTGAGAACACAAAATAAAAAATGAAAGTGAGACATAAAAATTAAACCCCTAATTGATGGAACTCACACACCGGAGAATGAAATGAATATCTTATCGAGATAATTATATTTGTTTCGGTAAATATGCTTTTTAAGCGCTTGAACCTGCTTGGATATCGCATCTAGACAAATTGAAGCAAGTCGACAAATAATGACATAAAACGAGTCCATAAATTTAGAGATAATGTTACAATAAAACAACTGAAACACGTACGAATTCAGAGAACGGACTATGTATTTTTGATTAATCATTTCTTTAAAAGACCTATCAGACTGTGTGGATTGTGAAATATTATGGAAAAAAATAGGAAACAAATTAAAGATGTAAAGTAATTCAACCTATAATACAATATATAATAATAATTACATGCACATATTAAATTATGTGTATTTATGATCACATGAT